AGATGCCTAATTTTTGGGATGGAGTAATTTTGGTTATCTCCAAGTCCTGGAGAGTAAGCAAGCAACTTTTCTTTCTTCCAATAAGTATCTCTATATACCCCACTTCCATTTCTAATGGCCTCCATAGACAGTATGATCCAAATTCTGTTGCAATCACATATACATTAACGGAGGGGGGCACCAATGCAGGTAAGTGTTTCAGCAACTTGACAGTGTCTAGAAAAGCTTCTGAACGACCTCAATCTTTCCAAGTATTAAAGGAATATTCTCACAGAGGGTACAGAGCTCCAATCAGCTTTGGTTGAAGTAAAGCTTAAGAAGCAAAACTAGATGGTAGATTGCTTACGTTAGCAAAAAAGAAGTTTAGGCAAAACCACTGTGTGGGGTCCAAGTTTCAGCTTGTCCTTATGGAATGCTGTTTTGGGAATGAATTCACCATGAGGGCACAGATTACTCCTGTCAGACTGACGTTACAGGCCCTAAACTATCAGTTTTCATAGAGAATAGTATAAAAGACATGGTTCCTACACGTCTGAATGAGAGCCACATACAGCCTAATAAATGCAATTCTGCAGTCCAAGAAGGATGGAGTCTCTCTGATTGACATGAATGGGGCCCTTGAGAAATCTAAGAATGATCAACCAAAACACAAAAAGGCTGCATGGCTTCCAATCAAAGGAGAAGAAACTGATCTAAACAGAGCCTTCTAGAGCTAATGAACAGCCTAGACTTCTTAAAGAATCAGAAGCAATCGGTTTAACCAAAATGCCAACACAATGACACTAAGCAAGCACCTCGGTCACTGCCAGGTTGTTAGCTTAGCAGCCCTTGATCCATACCTCATATTGCTGTTTGGTTAAGAAGCATGAACTACAGCAGGCATGAATGGCAAGGATTCAACAGAGAGACAGCTGGATGCTTAAGAATGAGCCTTGTAGGGCTGAGATTTACCAAGGATATTGCAGGGTTCTTCTGATTCTGTCTGATGAGTTCCTTCCACAGCTGATCCAAAAAGAAAAGAGTTAGGTGGGATTACCCTCTCCTGTTGTTTGTTAGGAAAAGCATACAAATGCACACCAGAGGCTTTGAGACAAAGAGGTCCCTTGAAGCATTCACCTTTGACAAGGAACAGTGGCATTGGAGGAGGGGGGAACACGGCAGGAGCCTTACAGACTGGTTGTATCATCTCTGAAAAGCACTCCTGTCAGACACACATATAAAGAAGTGCAATACTTCCTGAGGAATGGAAACCCCATTCTATCCCAAATTGTAAGTCCAGGAACGACTGGAACTAAACCCAGTGCTGCACGCTCACCAGCAAAAGCGGGACAAGTCTCCATCTTCTGGTATGGGCAACAGGAAATAAGCAGATGCTATCCCTTCTCCTGTTATAAATTGTCTACAGTGGAGCTACAGCTGCATCAGATAACTTTTTAAACTTAGTTTTTGTACAGAACAGCAGGGGAATTTGTGGGGAACCCAAAGACTACTCCCTTCCTCCAATCTTCCTTAAACACAACCGCCCCAAATCCTTGAATTCCTTCTGGATGCCAATCATCCAGCAAGACTGCAATCATCCTGTTCTTCCCCTCCTCCCAGGCCTGGCAGGTTAGCTCCCTGTGCTAGTCTCTACCTTAAAATGACTATTTATATCCTCAGTAAGTTTGTTTGGAACTCGTGTGTTTGTAAATAAAGAGCTTTCCAGGTCACTGTGGATGTTAAGCTAAAAGGAAAACACACAAAGAGCTTTTGAAACCTTCTAATAAGGCAGCATCTCTCTGCTGCCTTTCATCCTGCATTTCACAAGATCCCAGAGCACCCTGCAGATGCAAACACAGAGCTGCTCTCCCAGTCCTGGGGTGGAACGTGGCCGCTCAGGACACAGCGCATCCCTCCAGCTCTTCATCCTGCTGGGCTCTCACCTCTGCTCTGCCACCCCGTGGCTGTTCAGCTGCAGAGCTCCAGCGAGCAGAAGTGCCTCCTGCCCAGAAAGAGGTTTCCTGTACACACCAAGAACTCTCCAGCGTGGATGGATCGTTTTCCCAGAGTCAGGTACTTGCAACCAGTTAACACAATTGGTAGGATTTAAGGACAAGAGCGGTTTTCAACTGAGACACACCAAGAAAGAACACAGGTACTTCAGGGTCTGGTCAACAAGTCGGAGTTAACTGTGCTGCCGAGGCCATTAAATACATTTAAAGTGTTTAACAGAAATAACCTTAGAGAGAAGGGCTGCAGGCTGGATGTAAGCTCTTCCTTCGGGATGCCAGAGCAGAGCTGGGATTCAGGCGGGGAGATGTCGGGTTTGATTCCAAGTGAAGGATGCCACCTACTGAACCCTGCTACGGCACCGCACGCTTCCATCCTCATTGCTCCAGCCCCCGGGCAGGAGCACAAGCCCGCCCGCAGCCCCCAAATAAATTCCAAGGAGAAGCAGAAAACAGGCTTGTAAAAACAAAGCTTTCCTCGCTCGAGCCCTCCCCACAACCCGAAGATGTGTTATTCACCAAACATCTGCACAGCCACAATTATTCCTAGCTTTGCAATGCTGACAACCTTAGTATTAAAAAGCCTCTTTACATCTTTATTCCATTCTGGATTCATTATAGCACAGCCTGACAATATACACTAGCACAGTGCATTCTGCAGCGCTTAACCCCTGTTCCCAGTTGCTGTTCCTAACTCCTAGCTTAATGACACAGAGTCAGTAGATCACAATATGACCCTGTTAATATTTTTTTAATGCCATTTTTACAAATTACAGCATAATGCACTGATTACGAGGATGAAAGGAAAAGTCTCCACGTCTGTCTGGAAACCAACTAAAAGAATGTCTGAACATCTGTTCATCCTACAAATGTCTTTAAAAGCTTTGATTTTCCCATAATCATTTTGTTCCACCATTTCACCCTTTTTCAAATGTGTATCCAACAGCCTCAGGACAGCAGCCAGAGATCTGCAGGAATAGCACATTATAATCAAAGTTCCTGGGCATGTTTAAGTTCTCCTTTTGGAATTAAAAATGGGGGAAAATACAAAACCAAACCCCAGTCTTCAACAGCTACTTCTGCAGCTGCCTGACCTACACAAACCTCTGACGGGGAACAAAATGAAAGGATGGGGCTCTACGTGGAGGATGACAACGCACAAGGACAGGGCATGGCAGCAGTGAGGGGACTCGCATGAGGCTCCCTCCCTTGAGTTACCCCAAGCAAACAAACCCACCCTGGCACCCTCAGTTCTACAAGAGCCTTAAGCCAAGCAAGGGCTGCGAAACTAAGTTTTCAGAACTGATGAGTCTTCAAACAGATCAAGCTCCAGAACTGAACCTGCTATGGGCAATGCAGAGAGTAGAGGGGAGAAACCAGACAGTGCTTTGTAAATACACATGCCAGCAGTTATGCTGACAGCCTCCTCTCCACAACTGGGCAAAAATGCCTTAGAAATAAGAAAGACAAAAACCTGTAAACGCAAAGCCAGCAACTCCAAAGCCAGCCCTATCTGACACCAGGACACCTCTTCCGATGACTGCCCCTTCCTTTCCAGAACTCCAACCAGAGGGGGCAGAACGTAGTGACCCATTAAAATGGGACATTAGAATTACACAGATAAAAATGTAAATTCCTTAATTATTCGCTTTTGAGGTTTTTCTTTCCTTCAATGAGAAGTCTCTTTACACCATTAATTCTTAGACTAACCTGGGATGGCAATAACAGCATTCCTCCTATGTCACCTGCTTCTCTAGCTTCCATCACTGCAGCATCTTGAGCAGAGGTAACAGTATAGGGCACAGGACTTGATATAGATGTAGAAGACAGATAACATAATAAATATCCTTTACAAAGACTGCCTATGGGGGTCTCTGGGGAGAGGAGAGAAATGGGGAAGGAGAGGTGGTGGGGGGGCAAGATGCTTTTTGTCATTACAGAAGGATGCATTTTCCAGCAAAGCTGGCAGCACAAGTCACGTTAAGCCATAGCTGAAGTTGCCTGCCTAATTCCTCTGGGATCACATGGAAAGCATACCCCATAATCTTAAGGGATGTGCTAAAGCTTTGCTGGGACTCACTCAGCAGAAACTGTTTGGGATTATTCCACAAAGCACTAATTCTGTTCTGATTTAAAGGGGCACCATCAAACTAGTTTAGATATCAGACCTACACTGCCTCACAGCCATCCAGCTGCAAATACCCTCTCAATAGCGGGTATTTTTGCCATTTGTATCCACTTGGGTTACCTGGAAATTAAAAGGAGAAGAAAGACTAAAAAAACCATGATAACATGATGGACTTAGGCCCATCAACAGATATACGGTAACACCGAGTATTACTAATAGTGTAATAGTATGATTCATGAGTGTAGCAATCTATTACAGTTACTTACTTCCATGTGCAACTAGCATGCTTACATTATACGTGGGGTCCTCCTCCTCCCATGGCTGATCTCAGCAAATGGGTCACTGGCTGCTATTTAACAGCACCAAGCAGAAGTACTGTGTTCAAGGGGCAGGAAATAACATCTCCCATGCACCGAGACGAGCCCAAGTTCTGTTCCAGACTGCAGCTTTCATACCTGTAGAATTATTGTTGGTTTTCACGTTAAGGTGTCCCATGCTTTGTAAGTAACAAAAAAGGGACATTACCAGTGCTCTCCTTTTTATGAGCCCAGGACACAAAATCGAGAGGAAGAACTAAAGCATCCATGAAATCTCTATTAAACAACTAATAGTTTCTAAAGGAGATACTCATTTTACAAGGCTTATGCTGCAATCTTCTATCATTATTTTAATGAAATAAAGCCCTTGACTGTTTCCAGAGGCAACTTTTTCTTTCACACATAAAAGATTTTGGTTACAAAAATACCAAAAAAAAAAAAAAGAAAGCAATTCTGGAATAGCATTCACTGCAGAACAGGCAGGAAATTCAGAAAAGCTACAGAAAATGTCACCGGAGATCAGTTCTCAACCTTTGGAACAGCAACGAGAACAATTAAGACTCTCAGTTACATACATCGTGTTGTTTAATATGGAAAACATTGAGACATAAATCATTTATTAAACACATCCATACCATCTCTCAGATAGCATCTTACACAGCTGCAGCTGAAGGAACGTGAAACATCCACTTTGCATTTCACCTACTCTATTGTGTGCTTTCTGTGTCCCGCTTTGCTCGGGGAAGGAAAGCTAAACCATCTGCTTTGCTTTGCAGGTCCCATGAAATTCACATCTCCAGTAGGTTTAGATTAATATCGGTGGCAACCTTTTAAATCAAGAGAAGCTTCCAATCAGTTCTCCAGACAAACACCGCTATCAGAACAGAGCCCTGGATGTGCTCGGCTGGCAGGGAGCGCTCCGAAAGCCTGTTACAGATCCACATGGCAGAGGTGACAGAACGAGCAGGTTCTAACAGAACAGAAGCAGACCGCAGGGGTTTCGGAGGGGGCACACAGTCAGACCTGCCTGCGAAGAAGCAACAAGACAACCATTCCACCTGAGATTCCCTGCAGAGTCCGATCTTTCACATGTGATCAGAGGCTGCTCTTACGTTCTCAGGACTGAATCATCTTCTTCTGCGTGTCAAAGACGTATCTTTTAAACAGAAGAGAGATGGTAATGGGCTGGACCGAGTCATTCTTGCTGCTTTCGTCCTCTTTGGTTGCATCCCCCTTCCCTGCCTTAGATTTCTTCTTGGAGGCAGTGGTAAGAAGAGCCTTGGTTTCTGGCTTCAGCCCATCTGTAAAACACAAGGACACACATGACAAACTCACTCAACGTCACATTTCAGTGTAACTGGAAAAATGAACAGGCAAGTTGGCTTCTGAAGTCAAACACGAGAAACAAGAACTTGAGTGTGCATCAGGAAAGTCACATTTCTGCACCACGCTTGTGGAATATGGGAACTCGCATGAAAAATCAGAAGCCTTCAAACATAGTTATTAGGTAAATCGAGATGAGCTCTTAGGCAGAAGCTCTTCCCTGTGAGGGTGCTGAGGCGCTGGCACAGGGTGCCCAGAGAAGCTGTGGCTGCCCCATCCCTGGCAGTGTTCAAGGCCAGGTTGGACACAGGGGCTTGGAGCAAGCTGCTGCAGTGGAAGGTGTCCCTGCCTGGGGCAGGGGTTGGAGCTGGAGGAGCTATAAGGTACCTGAACCATTCCACTATAGTTCACAAAAGGGATGCCCCAAATCCAGAGCAGTATCCTGGCTGTATCCTTCTACAGCTTTTAAAGTGTTAAATACAGGCCAAATTTAAACAAGCCAGAGCAACTTGCCTGGTCTAACCCTTTTACTAGTAAACCCTTCCTATTATTTACACGCATCTCTCAAAAGTTCCTTCTCATCACTAAGAATATTCATAAAAATACAAGTCAGGAATGAAACCAAGTGGTCAAATACTAAAATTATAGAGTCCCAGGAGTCAGAAGGTTCTTGAATTTTCATAGTCTATTCCCCATCAGAAGCCCACTGTGTCGGTTTTAACACATTACAGAGATTTGTGTGTGCTTGGGGGTTTTTTTGTTCTCTAAAATACACTATTTGCTGTTAAAAGTTTCCCCGTCACTGCTTAGGGAAACCAGAATCAACCTGTGTAAGATTCCAGGGATCTGACTTAAGTGTTTCTCCAAACATCAGTGCCAATCAAGAATACTTGGGCTTCCCTTCCCAAATACCAGCGTTTCTTACACTTCGATAATGTCTTGTAACTCAACACACTGGGGGCATTCGGGCTGTGAAATGCAAGATAGGAAAGCCCAAACAAACGCTGTAAACCAGGAGAGCTGTAGCTCCTGAAAGACCACTCCTGAGGAACTGTTTTCTCAAAGCAGAAGTTAGGCAACTCCTTGGAAGCTCATCCAGCACCACGGGAACACACCGCGAGGTGGTTCTCAGGCATTTGGCCAAATTCAGTTCAGGTATTTCTAACCTGTGGTGTCACATAACCTTATCTCAAACACTTCATCAGCTTCTCTCCCCTCATACTGAAATGCAGCCGTGGATTCTCGTATCACAGCCTGACAAAAAGATTGAGATGCTTATGATTTGCTGGAGACAGGAGGTCTGCAGGCACAGGGACTTCGCTCCAGCCCAGCCCCATCCAGGGGCACCTGCAGGTGATCTTGAAGCCACAGCCCCAGAGCCCAGATTTCCATCCCCCTGCATCAGGCAGCAAATCCTTCCAGGCAATGCTCACTGTGGAGGGGAGGGAGGAAACAGGGAAGTGCTGAAGCAATCCCAGGAAATGCCGATTTGCTGTTTCATAACCAGAGGTTTTAAACCAGCCCTAACGCTGCAGAGCAGCCACAGGAGGTGTGGAGAGATCCCAGGGTCTTGATTTGTGGAAAATAAAGAGCACGAGAGGAGAAAAGCAAAAGCTTTTGTATACAACTAAATAAATCACAGTCTATGTAATGCTGCAGAAATCCAGCATCAAGCACAACCAACTTTGTATTGTAGTGTTCTGCAAGATCTGACAGGCTGAGAGAGCTGGGCTGGTTCAGCCTGGACAAGAGAAGGCTCCTGAAGGGGAGACCTTAGAGCAGCTCCAGTGCCTAAAGGGGCTCCAGAAAACCTGGAGAGGGGCTTTGGACAAGGGCCTGTAGGGACAGGCCAAGGGGAATGGCTTTAACCTGCCAGAAGGGAGACTGAGATGAGCTCTTAGGCAGAAGCTCTTCCCTGTGAGGGTGCTGAGGCGCTGGCACAGGGTGCCCAGAGAAGCTGTGGCTGCCCCATCCCTGGCAGTGTTCAAGGCCAGGCTGGACACAGGGGCTTGGAGCAAGCTGCTCTAGTGGAATTACTGCATCAGATCTGCTGCCCTCATTCTGCAAACAGATTCAGCACTGGCACCGTCCCCACCAAACAGTGTTTTCTGTTCCCAGCCCCGGTGCCGGGCGGTCTGAGGGCTGCAGAGGCTCCGTGACCGGGAGCAGCAGAGGGACCAGGGACCCGCGGGTTTCATCCCTCCATTGGTGTCTCGCGTTACACACAACGCGGGCTTCACATTGTACAAACCCAAGGAAACGAAGGGAAACAGATCTGTCACCAAAGAAGACATCAGACCCTTAATAGCTGAAATGACAGATATTTTTAGATGGAGGTCTAGTTTAACTTACATTAAGGGTCTAATCTCTCCTGAACAATGGCTGTGTTAGCTTGAACACATAGTGAGAAATCTGTTCCATTAATTAAGTGCTGCCTGTACTACTTGGATTTGTAGCAAATGTTAATAGAATTTTTTTCTTCTTCCTCTGTTGGACAATTACTTTATTTTGCCAAGTTGCTAATGGATTAAATTGAAAAGGTCTGTGTGTTAAAAAAAGACTTCAGCTTCAAAGTTCCAAGATACGCCTTGCATACAGCAGTGGAAAATACCTATACGTTAATATTATTAATGGGCAGTCCTCAGAGGCGCATAAGATATCTCAAAGCTTAACAAATTCATTCCCACCCATGTCTGTAACAAGTGTTGCCCAGCCAGACTTATGCCAACGTACTTGTAGCATCAACTAACCCACGCTAGATGTGAAAACCTAGTTGTAAAATAGCTTAATCCATTCTGTTCAACTACTGTTAATAATTAGCAAATAAGAATACAGGCTCTTAACAGAATATCCTTTGTCTCAGCGTGGCCTCAAGGATTTTGTCCAAACGGAACCATTTATAAATGCAAAAAAAAAAAGTGAATTTTCAAATTCAAATGAATTCAAATTCCTCAGCAGGAAAAAGAATTCCCAAGTCCAGGAACAGTTTCACACACACAAAATAAAGGACAAAAGCAGTCATTTTTTACACCATATTCACAAAAAGAAACTAGCTTCTTGGGGATGTGCACTATCTTGAATGGCTCAATGCATTGCAGCCTTGAGTTTTACATGCAAGAAATCTGCATAGAAAAGCACAGATTTCAATAACTTCCTATGGAAACATCACAATGTAGAATCCTGGACCCCTCCCTGTGTATAAATACAAGCTGGCCTCTCCTACAGTCTTTCTCTCCTACAAGCCAGCTCCTTCTTCCCTAACTCCCAATTCCACTCGATACCCTGCCTTTCAGGAATTTTCTTTCCCTCTCTCCTTTTCAACTTCATTTTTGAGACTTCCCATCTCCATATTTCTATTTCCTATTTCCACAGATCTCTTCAATATTTATATGGGAATAGACAGGAATATTTCTGTCTCCTTCAAAGCTAATGAAACGCTGTGTTTGCACAGAAGATTTTCAAGGCAGGCACATGTAAATGTGAAGGAAGATAACCCAGTATCCCCTCACGGCCCAGCCAGAGAAAGGAGTAATTTCTGAGCAAGCGATAAACACGTCATTAAAAGCAGGTGGAATAACAGAGATGCAGGGCAGGCTCTCCAGCACAGCCACCGAGAGTAATGCATTCTGCTGAACAACAACTCCCTTTTCCTATGGACACTTGTAAAGAAACCCTACCACTACCCACCCCAGCCAGCACCGAGGAGGAGGAAGGCATCGGCATGGATGATTGCACAGATTTCTTACAGCAATAATTGTTAATGAGAACAAAAAAAGTCATGTTAAAAGATGTCAGGCCTCTGGACTGAGGAGACTTGATTCATGTTTTGATTCAGGTTTGGGTGGAAGGGACCTTAAAGCTCATCCAGCTCCAACCCCTGCCATGGGCAGGGACACCTTCCACTGCAGCAGCTTGCTCCAAGCCCCTGTGTCCAACCTGACCTTGAACACTGCCAGGGATGGAGCAGCCACAGCTTCTCTGGGCACCCTGTGCCAGCGCCTCAGCACCCTCACAGGGAAGAGCTTCTGCCTAAGAGCTCATCTCAATCTCTACTTCCTTTGAACAGTGCAGATAGAACACTCACCTACCTGCAATCTTGCCTCCTGTCAACATTCAAATGTTAAAAATTGAACATCAGAGAACAAGTTAATGTCGCACATTTGATGTTGGAAATCATTTTTATCCAAGGGAAATGTAACCTTCTAATACCATAGACAAACATGTTCTTTCTTCCTGAGAGAAGCAAATAAAAGAGCAAGCAAAACTTGAAAGAGGCAAAGGGTTGGGATAATCCTTGCTCACAACGGATCATTCCTAACAGCTGCTTTTCACAATTTCAGGATTTCCTTAAACTGAACCCTCAGAGGCTGAACCCCAATTACACATTTAAGGAGCACAGGCTGCATTGATTCTCCTGCTAACAGAGAGCACAAAAGTCAGTGCCATTAGTTTCCAGCAGGATGAAGATCAACACCAGTGATCCCCCAGTACACCAGCAGGCACACACTTGTTTCTCCACTCACTCCCAAAACATGTGTCAGGAGTTCTACAATAAAGTTGTCATTAATCTGTGCTCTAAAGCCATGAAAAGCTCATGCTATTATCCCTCAAATAATGCTCTGGGGTTTTGATGCAAACGAAAAGCAGAAGCATCCCAAAAATCAGAGGATCAGTTTTCCCAGCCCTCCTGCTACAGTTCTCTACAGCCACACAGAAAGGACAAGAGGAATAGGAAACAGAACATCCTTGAACTCTTTACATTCAGTTATTAGGCAGAGACTGTTTCTCTTCTCCTCTGCTATAGATATCCAAAATCCTACCTTCAGATTTTATTCAAGGCAGGCATTTTTACCCTTCAATATTCCAGCAAAACCCCTCCTGAGCTAATGAGAAGAATGACACCTTTGGAAGCCTCCCAAAAACATATGAGCTGTGTTACTCTGCCCATAAACATTGTAATAGGAGCATCAGCTATGCC